GAAATAAAGGCTCAAACTTAAGAATTTGCAAAGCGTGACCACTTTCAACAAAAATTATCTACTTCTAAAAATAAAAAAATATGGCAGAGGGCAAAAACACTTATATATTCTGCTTCAGTTGAAGAAGCAAGTGACATCATAATGAAATCCGAAACAAGGAAAAAAGGTTTATTTCTTAACAATGGACGATATGATTAAATTTGCAGAATTATTTTTTAATGGCAAAAGCAGAAACTTAATAAGTTAAATCTTAATGTTTCTTTAGACTAATTTTTGATTGTTTATATGAAGAAATATAGTTATTTGCTGGGCTGAATTATCCTTTATGCCGCTCAAGCTTAGTTATAATAAAACTGTTTTTTTTTTTTTTTTTACTGCAGTTGTGTTGAAATACATTCTAATTTCTTTTGCAATAAATAGTAAAGTAGTGTTATTTCTTAAAGAATATTTATATTGACAAACAAAAGTTTCTAGTTTCTTTAAAGAATTTGTAATAAGTTGACTTCAAACTATATAAATGTCACTAAAATATATCCCGAGTAAAAATAATATTTAAGTCAAGTGCAGGTGAGTTAGAGGGTGACTCCATAATTTTATTAGCCTCGGTGCCCCAAAAGATCATAATCTGACCCTGGTTCTATGTCAGGTATGAAAGATTGGTAATTGGTAATTACTATATTTTCTTTTTTTTTAAGGATAAAAATACAGTAATCATTGGTTTTTCATACTTAGCAAATAACTCTATTTTTTTCATATAAAGCATTAAATCTTAATATTTCTGTATAATCAAACACAGGAAATATTTTGCATGTAATTTCAACACCTTAAAATGGCTTATTTTTTTTAATGAGCTGTCTTTTGCAATGCACATAACAGCTGTAGTGAAAGATAGCAGTTTTAAGGTATTGACACAAAACAGAATACATTGAATACACACTCACTTTTTTTATTGCAAAATCAATGTTAATCATTCAGACATCAAAAAGAGAAACAGTGACAATTTACTTCATAAACTCCAATAGGACACTGATAAGAATCATATAAATGCATATGACTTGATTTCTAAATTTGTTTTTTTAAACTACTGTATACTTTTCTATTCTTAATTTTACAGTTTTTTGTAAAAATATATTTCCAGCAAACTAAATACTGTATAAATGTGATGACCTACTTAGCAGATACATCCTGGTTGTTGGCCCTTGCAAGCTCTATTCTTGATGCCTTCCATTATAAATATTCTTGAGAATTGATTTTAAATAAAAATCTTAAATCTTCTATATGTCATGTCTCTTTAGGACATGGGCAATCATGGCTCTTCACAATATCCTGTCATTTGTAGGTCTTAGTAAACTTTATCTTTTTACTACCTCTTCTAATCTCTGTCCTGCCAAATGTTTACACAAGCTCATTATTTAGGTTATGCACTGCTTTCCTCTGTCCCTGTTGCATTTCAAATGTCCTTGTGAGTGACAAATTTTCTAAGCCCTCTTTTCTCAATATGTGCCCTAGAAATTTTGACTATTTCTTTCTGATGCTAAATACAAGTGTCTTTTTTGTTTCCATTTTCTATATCATTGCATACATGTTCAGTTCATGGTATTCTCAGCATCCGTCGAAAGAACCACATTTCTGTTGCCTCAAGTCTCTTCTTCATCTGTGATGAGATTGTCCAGTATTCATTGCCATATAAGAGGACTGATATTACATAACAGTTCACTACACTTTTCTTTGTTTCTAATGAAATTTTCATGTTTCTTAATACTTTGCTTTGATTTTGGAAGCATCTTTCACTATCTCAGTGTTTCTTCATATTTTGGTGTTGCATTTTCTGTTCTCTGTTAATGCACTTCCTAGATATTTAAATTTTTGTACTTTGTTGATTTTGGTATCTCCAATTTGTAATTCACATGTTGGGTTATCCCCCTTTGCTGACTGAAGATTCGAGTTGGTAAGGCTTGTTAATTCTAAACCAAAGTTTTCCTCCAAACTGGTATATGATGACATTAGTGGAATTACGTACCTGTTATTTCTTTAATTATCAACTAAACTCTTTTTTGGATTATTTCTTTCTGATAGATTTTGAAATATTTTTACCTTGGCTAACAAAACTTCAGTAATGCATTGCAAAACCTTTATTTTTAAAGTGTGTTGAAACAAGACAAAGTTTGGACAGATCTGTGTAAATCCATGTTTTGCCTTCTTTTTTATTACACACCTTTACTCTAAAGCTTGTTTCATGTACCCATCAAAAGACTATGAAGAATATGAAAATAGTCTTAGTATTATTATCGTATAAAAATTTTTTTACAGACCTTTACTCTAAAACTTATTTCATGTAAATATCTATAGACTATGTCTGACTACTATAATTATTATTATGTCGCTTTTGTGTAATTTATTACCCATTCTTTCTTCAATTATTTTGTAAGTTTTTCATTTAATTATAAGCATATATTTAGCTTAGATATCAAAATATGTTGAAAAGAGTTTTATTTTTATTGCTAAGGCAAAAATGTTTAGAAAACTTCACTCTAAACTGATAAGTCATTTTCTTTTTTTAGTATGATTTGGTATTCACAGGTCAACAAGGAAGACAGCTGTAATATTAAAAATTTACCCATGATTCTCCTAGAAAGTCAGATAGTCATTTTTTTACATTTTTACCTGTTACACTGTTGTAACCTTACCTTTGTCACTGTTACCTCTAAGTCACTCCTAGTCTTTGAATTTAACTAAGTTAGCATAAGACTATTAAAATCATATAGTTTATGCTATATAATTTATTTATGAAGTAAAATATATTACTTTAAAAGTGTATCAGTTGGTTTTTTATATATATATATATATATATGATATTATAAATTGATTTAAAATATGGTTTCTTCACTACCATGTTTCAAAAACCAAAGCTAAAAACTTCAAATTTAATTATATAATTGAATTAAAATCATTAATTCTCTTTCATCTTCAAGTGAATTTTGGAATAACTTATAAGTTATTCCAAATTTTTTAATTCAATTATATAATTAAATTTGAAGTTTTTAGTTTTGGTTTTTGAAACATGGTAATTCCTCTGTAGCGAAGAAACCCTATTTTAAATCGGTTAATTTATAATTATGCTCTGTAAATTTACATTGAGCACTGTTTTATAAAAATATCAATTAAGAACACTGGATTATATATCTTAACTGTTCTTTCTTTTTATTTATATATATAGTTCAAATTCACTACTTTGTCAACTCTATGCAATAATATAAGTTAAAGATGTAATGTAAGTTTTTTTATTCAATTCTTATGACCGTCATATTTTTTGTTTGGTTGAAAAGTTTTGAATAAGTTCTTTATGTCTGTAGTTCTTAACACTTGGTAATTCTCTAAACCATTTCACAAAATGTGAAAACCCTTCATTCATTTTATATACTTATTTAACTTTGCTAAGGTGTTTTGGTTATTTGTGGCCAGAAACTAGCAAGAATAAGTAAATTCTATGTTTCTGTATCTCCAAGGTAACAACTCCCCATAGCACTGTGTTGGGTCAGTGGTTGCGTCTGCGTCAATAAACCTTGGACAATTTTTGTGCCCAAATATCTATACATGTGGGTTACAATTACCATTCGCCTATGCTTAGAATATTGCTGCCACATGTGTTCTGGTACTCCTGCTATATTTCTAGAAATCTTTGAAAACAACCAAAGAAGAATCTATAATATCATTGGTCCTGACCTGCCATCTTGGCTTCAGTCATTTCCCCACTGCTCTAACGCAGCTTCTCTGTGCCTTTTCTATAAATACTTTCATGTTAATTGTTATGATGAACTTTCCTCTTTCATACATAGACTTTATGAATTTAAATGCAGTACTACACTGGCAGCAAGGTCTCACCATTTTACAGTTGAAATTGCTAGATGTAACTAAGTTCTATGCTAACAGTTACTTTTCTTAGACTTCTCACTTGTAGAACTCTCTTCTGGCTTTCCAGTCAAATTTGATTTTCAAAGATTTAAAAATGCAATGTCAACCATTATCATCTGTCTTATTAATTTCTGTTCTTTTATTGTTCTCTCTCCTTAATAATGTTTTGCTTATATTCTTTTGCACACTGTATCCCCTTTGTTTGGGCTGAAATGATTAAAAAAAAAACATCTCGACTGCATGGGGAAACATGTAAATACCAGCTCCCATGCACCTCACTAACTTTACTAAAAGGGATTAGGTTATAGGTATGCCCTGATGACTGCTTCAAAAATTGAGGTAACCACTTAATTACTGTATCATCAATCACGCGAAAGTATGTTAGTAATGAAGTAAAAAAAAAAGAAGAAAAAAAAGTGTTCTGCTTGGGGAGTGATTAATTTCAATAATAAAAAAAATGTGCTATTAAAATTAAAACCTACACCAAATTGAATAATTTCAGTTTATAAATTCCTGTGTGGGAAGCTTTTGTGCACTTAAAGTTTAAGACAATTTATTTCATTGTCATTTATTTTTAACTATTTTTATGCATTGTTTAATTTATTTGATGTGTGTTGAAGAACAAATATTTACTTGATTCATTTGAAAGTATATTTCCTTTTTTAAACTAAAGGGTAATTTTTTTAAATTGAAATTCAAGTTACACTTTTAAAGTTATATTTCTAAAATTGTAATGTAATAAAATACTAACGTGACTTATTAACGAGGATTTATAAATTAAAAATTCTTTTTGGCAGGGTCTGCATTCCTAAGTAAATTACTACTACTAAGTAATCTTTTTCATATTGACCTATCACTAATTTATAATTTAAATAATTAATTAATTTAGCATGAAATTTTATTGGTAATCATGAGAAATACTTCGATGAAAACTATCAGTAGAATTTAAAAACCATTTTTTTTTTTTTTTCGATTATGTACAAAGGAATTTTATTTATTTATTTATTTTTTACTTGTAATTTTATGACAGCATTAACAAGCAGTTTTGAGATATGTTTTTTTAATAGTTTCGGTTATTTTTCTTTCAGCAAATCCAAAAATTGGTTGCTCCTCCGACCTCTGAGGATCCTTCCAAAAAAGCCAAAAGACCAGTGAGAGAATACAGGCGACCGGGAAGAACAGTAAATCATGATTGTTGTGACAGTTGTAAAGAAGGAGGCGATTTGTTGTGTTGCGACAGATGTCCTGCCGCTTTCCACCTCCAATGTCAGTAAGTCAAAACTTTCTCAAATTATTGCCTGAACCTTTATTAAAATTGTTGGATCTTCCAAACCGTTCGGGAAACTTTAAATTTATCATTTACCCATAAAATGTTTAGTCACAATGAGTGTTTGGATTCTCTCGGTAGCCATTTTGTTTTTGTCATTTATTGTTTACCAAGATGGCCGCCTTTTTGACATTCGTGCATTTTTGCTTTGTATTTTTTCATATTTTAAGTCTCTATTCAGTTATTTTTCACTATGAAAATTTGATGAAAACCTTTCAAACGTCGTTTATTATCGACTGTGTGGCATTTTGAACTGATGGATGACAGTAGTTTATTAATTTTATCTTTGAATAAGTCCCGGTTGGCAGGCTGGCTTTTTTATCCTCCTTATCATCGGTTCCGTTTTTGTTTTTTTTAAGTAAACAATTTGTTACGATTTTATAAATTATTTGAAAATATTAAATTCATATTAGCTATAAAACATATAATTTTTTTTTCTTCAGACTATTTTGTGGCAAGCATACGTTAAGATTTTTTTTTTTTTTTTTTTTTCAGAAAACAAAGCTTGTCAAAAATTTAATGGTTTAAAAAAAAAATTAAAATCATTTAAAATTGCCTGAATAATTTTTCAAGGTTATCTTCATTTTAGACTTTTATCCGATTTTTATCTCTTAGATAATGCTAAATTAAAAAGAATTGTCATTAACATTTGGTACCAATTTGATTGTTTTAATTTTTTTAAAACGATTTTAAAGATGAAAATTAAACGGTTCTTGTATTTCACAGTTTTTTTTCTTTCTGACGAAAAAATTGTTCTTTCAAATTTTGAGCTCTTAAAAGCAAAAATTTGTTATTGGTTCGACCTAAATCATTACTTTTTATTGACAAAATTATTACTAGGTAAAAAAAAAAAAAGTTTTAGGTACCTCCACTTTTACTCAAATAACGCGTCAGATTTGGAAATTTTTGCAAAAATCAAATAATAGTCGTACTTTAATTAAATTTTCAGCACTTTTTCACAAAAGAATAAAATTATTTTTTAAATCTTTTGTTTTAGAAAATCTTGATAATTTTTTTTTTTTTTTTACATATGTTAACCCCCACTTAATTTCATGAAATTTGGAGAAATTAAATTTTAAGGAGAAAAGTTGTTTTATTAGTTAAAACAAGACTCCTTGGAGAATGTATTGTAAATCATCAATTTTTTTTTGTTTGTAAAACCTTTACCCCAGTCACCAAAAATCTGCTCTGAATTGTAAAATAAAAAATCCCCCAAAATTATGGCATTATTTAATTGGAAAAGCTTTTAATTGCTTTTATAAATAATATTTATTAAGGACATTATTGTCTTTAAAAAAATTTTTTCGATGCATAATTAATTTTTACAAGAATTGTTTTCATTTTTTTTTAATTTTATTATATTTTAAATTGTTTAAAATTCTGCATTACTTCAATGAGTTTAGTTAATATAGTTATTAAGTGAAAACTACATTTCTGAATTAAAAATTGAAAACCTCATTAAAAGTCGTTGTACCCCAATATTTTTTTAAAAATTAAAAAAAATTTTTATGTATATGTAACATGCTCCTATTTGAAATTATAGTTGACCATACACAACAAAATCAGAATATAATAGTGATGACTATAATAAATTTAAATTCAGTGTTCTTAAAATTACATTATGGAGAACATTTTCCAACATTTTTAAGATTAGTTAGTACTTAAAAATGATATAAAAAAAGACGCTCACCCATCATTTTCTTAAATTATGTTTTAACAGATAAAGTCACCATACAACAACAATGAACCTGTCAACACCTAGTTAAGTGATTTATGAGGTGTTGATAAGCACTTAACCATGCTACTGTTTGTTTTAAAAATCCATTTCTCTGTTATTTTAAACTCAAAGTAATATTTCTTTTCAAATTGGCTTAATTAAACTTTAAGTCAGTTAATATTTCTCAAAGTTTCACAAATACATATTTTATTTTTGAGAATTTTTAAAATCTTATTTATTTTAAATTTTAGATATCAATATTTATACCAAAATAGTGGGGGTACCTACATAATCATTTTTAATTTTAAATATTTTTGAATTTTAAATTTTGATTTTAATTTAATTGCAAGAAAATAGTACAAAGTTAGTTGTAGAAGATAAATAACTTTTCTGATAGGTTTTAGATGTTTTAAAGTAAATACAAAATTACTCTATAATTGATGAAAGTCACTTTGGAATTAAGAGCATCTCCATGGAACAGTTGAAGTATGAATAACCAAAAATTACAAAAATTCATGTTTTGCTTTTCTTCATAAAAGCATTTATATTAAAAAGTTACAAAAGTAGCCAGTGGAAATAATTTTATTTTCTTAATGGTCTTTAATGTTAAATACATAATTCTGAGGATAGTGAAAAAAAAAAATTTATATAATTTCTATTTTTAAAAAAGAAAAAAAAAGCTATTCATTGGATTTTGTTCAATTTTATATATCTCTGGTTTTATTTTGTAACAATATTTTTGAAGCATCCAATCAAGATAATAGAAATTTTAAAACATTAAAAACATTTCTTCAGCTTTTTCTTTTCAAGGCATATTTTTTGCACTTTTGGTTGAACACTGAAATAAAATTTCAAATGATGTAATATATCTGGGAGCTTAAACAAATGAAAATACTTTTAATGTTCAAAAGATATTTTATTGAGATTTCATAAAATTAAATAAAGGGGGAACAAAATTGGCTTAAAAATATTTCCAGAAACTTTTCTTACCAAAGACCATTTTCATGAATACATTCATTCACAATAGCAAATATTTTACTGAAATCTTCTAATGTGCAAATTTTTGGTAGATTTTTAAAATATGGGTGGGTGCTTTGCATCTGAAAATTGTGTAAATTATGTCACAATTTCAAACACAAATTATTTTGCTTCTGTATTGGGAAGATAATATTTTACATCAGATTTTGAAATCATTTAACCTATATCACACTATATGTGATTTCATTTGTTGTGCAAAATGTTTATCCTACCACTGAATTTGTTTGAATTCCATAGTTATGTTGTCATATCCTGCTATGGCAACAGAAAACACCTTTGAGTGAAATTAACAATTATGTTACTGCAATTGAGAAAGAATCCAGTGGAAAAGAAAATAATATTAATAATGCAGTGTGCTAAAGGTTAAAGATATTTTTTTCTTGATTTCAAATGAAAATTTGGAAATTTTCCAACATATTTCAGTGAAATTTTTACAAGCCAAATCTCCATCTTATAGACATTTCTCTTAATAATAATTTAAAAATAGTTTTGTGGATGATGTTATTTTATTTATGGTAACTGGATTTTTGGTGATTAACATACTTGGTTTCCATCATTCGATATTGTGCGTGAGAAAAATGGTGCTTTTATTGCGGGCCCCTCTAACTTCTTGGCTTTTTGGGTGGAATCAAAGTGTAGTATCTATAAACTACATTTCATCTCAGTTGTGTGTTGTTCTGCAGACAAAATGCAACTGAAAATATTATTGAGATGTGCCAGGTTTCAGGGAAACAATTGCCCACAGCACTACTTCCTTCATTACACTAAAGACGGGGATCAGTAGTAATATCGACAGCACAACTAACAGTTGCAAGAGCTAGGCTATTTTTGGACCTGGCCTGGATGCACATACTCGGGCTCTCCACATTAACCTCAGCTTATGTTGCATCCTGCCAGCATGAGGTGGCAAAAAAGTACAATCACTTCTCAGCTTTTTGGCTAAGATCAAAGTGTAGTATCTGTTCTTATCAACTTCATCTCTCTCCACTTTTATCTATCTTTTTTTTTTCTTTTTCATTTTCTCACTGAAACCAAGTAGTGTCCTTCCTCTTTCCACAAGGAAATCATCCATTATTTATGAAGTATTGATGAACTAATGAAAGGCTGGACAAGCACAATTATAGTAGGACGTGCTAATACCCTTGGGAAAGGTATGAATGCTCTTCTTCTCCTCCCCAACTATGGGTAAATAGCAGGACAGACTGGGTTCTATAGCCTTGAATGGCAACTGGTCTACTGCAAAAAGAAATGGCAAACTACTGCAGGTGAAAAAATCTGCCTCGTCAGTCATGTATCAAAAGATACATGATCACCTAAGCATGTTTCACGCATGGTACATAACTGATTGGATTGGTTTAGCTCTATAGAAAAAGGTGTTAGTTTAAAATGATGCTAAACGGATGTGTATTAATCAGGATAGTACATTTTCTATGCTTTATTTTATGTTAAATAATACTAAGCATTCACTAAGGACTTCATCTTATTTTTATTTTTCCACTACATACACTTATGTGCCAAAAGTCATAACAAGGTGATGTGAATTAACTTGAATGTAACATGATCGTGATGAATGGGATATTCCAATTTTGAAATCATGGGGACAGATTTGATTTAATAAAGAAAATCTGAGGTTACTGCAGTAGAAATGAATCTTCTATCCATCACATAACTTTTCATTATAATTGTTTTATTTTAATATCAGTTATTGTTAATCTTTTACTATGCCTAATGTTATGTAGTGGTTTCACAGTGGAGGCTTGTATTTGTACTAAGTCGGTCCTAAAATAGGTTCGACGTACAAAACGTTAGGAACTTGATATAATAGATAATGACGCAGTAATCTAGTTGTGGTGGCTGATACTTTAATATCCAACTAACAGTCGTCCGACATCAACTCACTGACCAACTCACTGAGTGACCCTCTGCGTGACTGTTACTACTACTCCTACTTATTATAGGTGGGAGAGTCTATTAACTATAGAATAGGTGTGTTCCATTATAACACTAATTCATAAACTCATAGGTATGTATAAGAAAAAATATAGTACTGAATTTTTTATATACTATATACAGTTTCTGATATCTAATAGGGGTTGTGAAACCTATTTCCACACCATAAGCCGGGGACTACTAATATAATTTACACTTATTCATATGCAGTGCACTTCTGGGGGAGGGTGGCAACAGA